AGAAACATTATTATTAACCTGTTACACAACACTGATGGAAGGCCACTTGATTCAGTCATTAATCAGAAACTTCCATCCATCCATCCATCCATCCATCCATCCATCCATCCATCCATCAGGTCTCGGGGGCAGCATCTTGAGCAGGGAGGTCCAGACATCTCTCTCCACAGCCTCTTCCAGCTCTTCTGGGAGGACTCCAAGGTGTTCCCAGACCAACCGAGAGACGTTGCAGCATGTCCTGGGTCTTCCCCGGGGTCTCCTCCCAGTCAGACATGCCCGAAGCACCTCCCTAGTGAGGCGCCCACCACCTCAGCTGTCTCCTCTGGATGTGGAGGAGCAGCGGTTCTACTCAGAGTCTCTCCTGATAACTGAACTTCTCACCCTGTCTCTAAGGGAGAGTCCAGCTCCCCTGCAGATGAAACTCATTTCAACCTCCTGGATCCACGATCTCATTCTTTCAGTCTCTACCAGAGTTCATGACCAGAGGTGAGGGGAGGAACGTAGACCAACCAGTAAACAGAGAGCTTTGTCTTACAGCTCAGCTCCCTCTTCACTACAACGGACGATACAGCATCCACAATACTGCAGATGCTGCACCAATCCATCTGTCAGTCTCACGCTCTATTCCTCCTTCACTCATGAACAAAACCCTGAGATACTTGAACTCCTCCACTTGAGGCAGAACCTCAACCTGAAGAGAACAATCCACTCTTTTCTGACTGAGGACCACGGCCTCAGATCTGGAGGTGCTGGTTCTCATCCCAGCTGCTTCACACTCGGCTGTGAACCGCTCCAGTGAGAGCTGAAGATCACGGCACGATGACTCCAACAGGACCACATCATCTGAAAAGAGCAGAGATGGACTCCTGAGGCCACAGAGCCAGACCTCCTCCACCCCCCGGCTGCACCAAGAACCTCTGTCCATAAAAGTTATGAACAGAATCAGTGACAACGAGCAGCCCTGGAGGGGTTCAACCCCACCCTGGAGGGGTTCAACCCCACCCTGGAGGGGTTCAACCCCACCCTGGAGGGGTAATCTGAAACAAATGAATAATATGGCATCCATCCATCCATCCATTTTCTTTACCCGCTTATTCCATTTTGGGTCACGGGGGTCGCTGGTGCCCATGTCCAGCAATCACTGTGCGAGGGGCGGGGTACACCCTG